TCTATTTTTCTTCTTTGCCGGACAAAGAAAAATATTCTACAAGTCCGTCAGGTCACACAAGCGGAGTCAAGGCCACGATATGTTTCTCAGACATTCACATAGTTATTCAGTTTGCTCTAAGGATCTAGTTCTCTCTCATTATCGATGGAGGATTTCATAAAGGATCCCGCAGAAATATATAACAGCTATTAACCTGGATTTGCGAGGAAGATACCAGTGGTAAGAGAGCAGATTGCACCACGACCGTGTTCACAACCCTTTCGCGAGAGATGCGGGTGCGACGGAGTCGAGATTGCGCAATTGAAGACTGATGAGGCAACTGTACTCGCGAGTAGTTAAAACGGCGATTTCAATTTGCGATATATCAAACAAGAGACGCGTAGGTACATGTACTTATTAGTTTCTCTCTCTCTCTCTTTCTCTTGCAGTTATAAACGCAGATCTCCCGTAAATATGAATAGGCGAGGTGTTACATGATAATTGGTTGCGTTTTCAAGGTTTCATGCGTTATATTGGAATAGAATATTTATGATAGCGATTTATGATTTAATTTGTTTACAATGACAGTCATTACGGATTCGAGGCATACTTTATTCATGCGTCCGATGCATCTAATAAATTGCGTTAACGCCACACGCGGTTTTAATAACACGGTCGTCACTCAGAAGCACACGCCGCATCGTGTATATTTTTCATATTTCTTCTTTGTCGTTTATTTTTTTCCATCGCAGTTTTATCCTCGAAGATCTCGCTAAACAAATGTTTAATCTGAGCGCGGCGCGTGTAACGCGTGTTTCTCTTTAAATCCGCACGCAAACAGTTGTTTCTCCGTTACGTAATTATACATTTAATTACGTAACCTTGAAAATATCCTATGTTAAAAGAAAATGCGAAGAAATATATAATTTTACTTTTCGTGATGCAAGCGATATATATATATATATATATATATTTTTTTTAATGTTGCCGCATGTGGAGCAGGCGTTGCAATAATATAACGAAATAGGAAACACAAAAAATCGAGGAATTACGCGCCTCAATCAGAACCGTAAAAATGGAGACGGCACGAACGTAACCTTTTGCCAGAGTGGACTTATTACCCAACAACGATTGTGTCGAGAATGTCCTTTACGTGCTCGACGTTCGGGGAATTGTAGACTGTCGGAGGTATTATAACCACAACCCGGACGTAACGTTCATTTATCATACGTACGTATCTTTATTATCACATTATCAACGGATTATGTGCGTGTGAATTTTTTTTTTTTTTTTCTATTGACACGACGGCGTCTCGTGTGTGAGAGACGTCGAGTGACAGACGACAAATCGCAATCGCTCGTAACAAAACGAATGGTAAAACAAAAAAAAAAAAATTTTCCGCTGCAACGTTTTCTGCAATTCGCTTTAAGCCGCGTTTGTTTCAAAACTCGCAGCGCGATGTTTTTGCGATATCACTTTCGACCGAAATCAAATCATCAGTCTCTTCCTTTTCTTTCTACTCTATGTGCGAAATAGAAACTCGCAGATCGAGAGATATCTAATATATGTAATACACTCTGTTAATTCGAGTGACTCGAGTAAGCATAAAAAAAAAAATTTGTAAGTATAAAAACAACAAAAACCCTGGCGTAACAACGTTTTCAAAGAGTTAATTTAAAAAAACCGGAGCTGTGTACATTTTCGCGAACGCGTCCTACTTTGTGCGCATACGTGAACTATTCACCGAGAATACTTATCGAAACGTCGCTTTTCTCCCCGGTGTGAAAGTATCGCCCCCTCCCCTTCGCTGATAGAGACCGAAGAACGGCACGAGACTGTGCGAATATAAACGTATCAAAACACGGGATTTAAAGTTGTAAGTTCTGTAATAATAAAAATCTCTTTGCGAGGAGTCGCGATCGAGGAAATAGCGCGCCGTCGAGCGGAAGGAAACTCCACGGTTGAATATTTCCGCGCAATTAGCAACAGCTTTGCCCGCACGTGAAAGCGGCGGTAAATTAAATCAGCCGTTAGAGTGCGAAAGAAACGGAAAGCAAACTCGGCTCCCGGTGTATTTACGTATGTACGACGCTACACACACGCGGTGTCTCGACTATATTAACTTTTATAATTGCACGATGTTATGCAAAAGTGAGTTAACGCGCGTTGGTAAACGCAGGATCGTATATATTCTCCGAGTGAATTGAAACCTGCTCGGGAGAGAGAGATGTGGTGTTTCAGTTCGTTCTTTTTAAGTAAAATTTTTACACAGTTCAATAAATACGCGCGCGCGCACGACAAAAAAGTGTCTGTAGAAATCGCGATATTTTTAAACGCGTACTACATACGCACGCGGACTTGCGCACGTTGGTTAACGATCAGTTTTCCTCTCTCGCTTCCTTTCTTTTAAATTTAGCGCACGGCGTTGTTTAATTCACTTTTGCGCACGTGAAATCGTTCAATTAAACGTATCCGTCTTTCACAAATAAAGGTAAAGATGCGATTACATAAGAAATACCTAATCAAGACAGGAGGAGAATAATGTCGCGTTTTATCGTCGATTCTACCGATTTTTTCGCGATTTTAATGGTCTCGAGATTAACCGGCCGCACACAATAACGAAATCCGGTGAGACAAGCTTCAAGATAACGTCGGATATATCGCCAGACGGTCATAAATAAAAGACAGGACAATAAAAAATACAAAAAAATACAAAAAAAAAAAAAAAAATCGGCGCAGAACACGCTGTACGCACGCGTGTAAAAAAAGTACATTTAGTTATAAAAGCACTTCGGACGCTATAAAGAAACCTCGTTTGTTCTTTCAACTTGTGTATTCGGGATGTGTTGATGGATTTTTTTCTCTCTCGTCAAGTATATATAATCGCGCGCGATTTCTTCCACTAATTTGTAGAAACACGACGCTTAATTGGAATGGATTAGCAATTCTCATGGGGTCACCACACAGAAGCGGCTCGCGCGCATGACGAAATAGACGTTCGTTCGATTATCACCGGTTTCGATTCGCGCATCGAACGGATATCGTGAATATTGAAAATTAAAGCTCTATTCTCTACTCTCTCTCTCTCTCTCTCTCTCTCTTTTGCATATTTGATCGTTACAGCATCGGTATACGATTAGCAATTGTTACTGGCGGCGTTATCGAATTGTGACATCTCGAGATTTAGAGATCGAAGACGCAGAACGTCTTATATAATCCGGACAAGGCGCGAGAGACACAACAATAAGTGACACACACACACACACAGAGACAGAGAAAGAAAGGGAGAGATTCCACTTCCTCGTGAAAAAAAAAAAGAAGTTTCCGACCGAAACACACACGCAACGTTTCTCGGGATGTGCGCGCTCTTTCGTCTCACCGCGAAACACCGTATAACTGGTGGGAAGAAACGAGAGTGATTAAAATCTCGCTTTCGACGCTCGTGCGCGTGCACAATCAGGTCTGAAGAACGGAAAAGACGCCGTGCTCTCCTTCTCTCGAAACGGGAGACCTGAATCGCTCGGGGCGCACGATTGTTTGACAAACAACTGTGTTTCCGTGCGACCGCCACGTGGAGAGGCACGTATTGTGTATGTGCACTGACAATAGAGTGTACAGATGAATTTTGACTTTTTGATGTGTCAGCGACGCCAAAAATCAAAACTCGATTATACACGTTATATCGCGTAAAGAAATCTCGATATGAACGAAACGCGGAAATTAGGAAGCAGTCGATTTACGTCGACATGCGTTACGTATTACAGTAGTATTTGTAACGAAAACAACAATGTTACGTGTCTTTCTTTCTCTTGTGTTTTTTTTTTTTTTTTTTTGTTTTTAATTATGTAAAACGCAAAACTCTCACTGTTTGTGAATAAGCGGAGGCGACAGGCGGCATTCTTTGCTGCATTCTTCATCGATAGTTTTGCAACAACGGTCGGTCGCGAGAAATGCTATCTGCAGATTTCTTTCGATTGATCGTAATTTCATGTGACTTTTAATTAGGCGTTTGTTCGGATTATCCGCGCGATATGTTACGTAAAAGCGTTGTGCCAGACATAGGCGTGTTCTGTATGAGCTATAGTACTCGACTTATTCGGGTATTATGTGTAGAAAGTGTGTAGCAGTCTTAATACCAAGGTGCTCGGATAATAATTCGAGTTTCGTAAAATAAAAATACACAAAAGTGTCTCTTATATATGTAGAAATTTCTCTTGCGTATGTATTGTGAAAATGTATACGCAAGTGCAATAAGCGGAAAAAAAAAATGTACATGGAAAGTCGCAAAATAGCGATATGTAAATCTCATCAAAATCACATTTCGAGATAAGAAACTCTTTTGCATGCCTGATGCCATCTTTTCTTTTTCTAAAACGATCTTTATATGTTATAAATAATATTCGCGGTTTGTTGTGTGGACAAGAATAATGTTTGCTAATTTATCAATCAGGTTTTCTCCGATATAAAATCACTTGTAGCTCAAAGACCGATAATTACAGCAATAAATAAAATTAAAAACAGAGCGAAAATAAGATTTCAGGGAAGTTGTTGAATATTTCTTCTTAGTTGCGAGTTTTATTCGAGATAATAAATTTGCATGATTTCTTTTCTCTACTCTGTAGATCTCTCTTTTTTTTCACATGATTTAAAATATAATTAGCGGACAGAATTATTTGAATACCTCGAATAACTCTCGACAAAAAAAAAATGGATTTGCGCTGCTTTGTATTTTACACCGATTAATATCAATCATCACTCGCGACAAGGTCATTTCGTTGAAAATTGTTGCAAAAAAAAAGATAATTCGCATATTTTACAAGATTCTCACACAAACATAAAGATTTCTTGTGTGTGTATAAAACATTTAACGCATTTTCTAGCGTACAGCGTTCTCTGCAAGTTTTTTGAATTGAAGACACACGTTTGAAAAGAAAGTCGAAGATTATATCCTGCGCCAAACAATCACGTCACGGACGTTTCGAATTACGAGTGCGCGGCGAAATGCACATGAGACTACTTACGTCATTTATTGTCGGTAGAAGTGGAGTCTCGTCGTTCGGATGCACGATCTGTCACGGTCCTCATGTTTCCATCGCTGCTGCCGACGAGATCTTCAGCATTATCACGGTGACGAACGGGTCTTGCTCGCTCGAGGTGTAAGTGTGTCTTCTTCGCGCGTACTCGATCTGATCCTGCGGCAAAGCAAGAGTAGAGCAGAGAGAGAAAAAGGAGAGAGAAAAAATAGAAAGGGAAAGAGCGGATGAGAGAGGATTCGATAAATCACCGTGTGCGTCTCTTCTTCCCGCGAATGTGACTTCCGGCAGCTGTTCACTCGCTTCCGCGTGATTCCGTGCGCGTCAATTTCCCGTACGATCACTTTGCACGCCAATACATTGTGAGAAGGTCAGGGGAGATTGGCTACTTTCGTGTAACGAGATTATGAAAACTGTTTTGCTTTTTGCGCGATCACGACTGTATTGAATGACGCGGAATTCGCACACGTTTCCGCAGAGAGGAGAATTTAAGTAAAAGATCCGAGACTGATCGGTCAAAGTGAATTTTAGAATTTATTTCAGACCGTCCGAGATGTAATTTTTTATTAGTCGATGAAATACGAACGTGAAGTGGGAAGAAATATACAAAAACAAAGTTACGAGCGCGCAGATGTTTTTACGTTTTTGTAAATCGAAAACATCTTCCGACGCGAGAGGAAGGAATGCGGGAGAATCATGAAAAATTCGTGTTTTTATCCACATCTGTCGGTCGACATAAAATAAGAATAAACACAAAACTCGATTAAATGAAAAAGAGAGGAACGGTTGTTAAAAAAAAAAAAAAAAAAAAAAAACTTGTCCTCCCAGTTACGCAAAGACGCGCGCGACGCGACGACGCGGCGGACGACAGTCAGAAATAAAAGTCAAGCGCCTTTTACGCCGAAAAGCGGAGCTCCGTGTTTGTTCCTCCCCGTATCGTTTATGCGCACGCGCACGCGGTGTTGGCCATTTAGTCGCGTGTCTTGGAATAATTTTGGATCAAAAGTTTAATCCGAGAAACAAAGTTAGCATTTATAAAAAAAACAAAAATAAGTAACAACATGTCATGTAAACAAAAAGACATTGACATTGTCAGTTATTTATATTTTGGTATACAGAGACGCTGAGTTTGCGCAATTTCAAATGAATTTGTATCTATCGGTTTCGTGTGTATAGTTTGTTCTTTAAAAAATCTGGATATATTGTACAATATTTTACAGATAGTAAATTTATTTATCAATTTTTATACTATTAGTAAATTTAAATTCTATTATGATTCTTCGATGGTGTATTGTTATCGTCTGTTTTTATAACTGCATTGTTTACTTGTATAAATAAATTTCTCATATTCTCTGTAATATTTCAAGTTTTATAAACCACGAGATTTTATGTCGCGAGGTTAGTTTCTTGAGACGTACCTTTCTTGACCTTTGTCCGGGCGCGTCCTCACAAACAACAAATTATCTACGCAAACGAATCATCACGCGTCGCAAACGGTAGATTCTCTGCGTTTCGTTTTTTTTTGTCAGCATGAATTATTTACACACGAGACGTACATACGTACGTTAAATTCTCGCATTTCGATGTACGAGACACTCGAGTCAAAACATTCGAGAGTCTCGAATCTACGAACGCGCGCCACATACTTTCTCCGTCGATATCGATATATATCGTCGTCGCCGTAGACTCGTAGACGCGGAAGTGCCTTTGCGAGATAAAACACTGTCTCTGTTTTCTCCTTGATGGAAAACTATCGCTAACGAAAATCGAAAGAGAAAAAGACACGATCTGATGAAAAAAATCGAAATCCGTGCGACTGCGTTTCGATGTCAGGTCTATTTTCGTCGCGCGCGATATATTCGGCAAAAAAAAAATGTAAAACCGGGGACGAAACACACGCACGGTTTCGGAGAAGAAGAAATGTAGAATCAACTTCTTGTCGCGAGCGTAAAGAAAACAAATAAATAAATTCCGATCTCTCGGGTGTCGAAATTCAACTCACCTCTAATCGCACCGGTTTTCGTGAAACGCTGCCGATCTCTGACGTTTCCGTCGAGAAGAAGCTCGTCTTTACGACGCTCGAAAATTCTCTCGAGCACGGTTTTTAAATCACACGCGATTTTTCACTGTTTCACGACGCGAGCGACGATGAGACATAATCTCGCCCGATTAACTCTCGTGCCGCGGAACGACCGCCCGAAGAAACGACACACAGTTGAGACACGTCGCGCGCGACGTTATACGAAAGGCGCCCCGACGACGGCACGCGCGCTCGTTTGAAAATCCCTCGCAAGGGAGCGCTGGGGGCGAGAGGGGGAAAGGCGGGTGGTAGACACGCGCACCGCGCCGCGGATTCGAATTTAATGCGAATGCGCGAACGGACTCGATGTTACTGCGGACGACGGTCGCCGTCGACTTCGACGGGTCTGTCTGCTGGAGTCGGGAAAGTGGGGAACCGACCGACCGACCGACCGACCGACGACGGAGAGGGACCGGCGTGTGCTCAGGACGCGGATCGCGATCGTTACACGGCCGTGCACGCGCAGGAGAAGGCCGTTGTCTCACCAACGAGAGAGCCGAGAAAGAGAGAGAGAGAACCACAGAGCCGAACTGCAGCACCGACTCCGTCACTGTCTTGTTACGACGATGTCTAATGAAAGGAGTGCCCGGATTCAGAAACGTAATCCCCTGGCTCGATAATAGGTAGATGAATTTTATATAGAATTTGATAAACAGTTCTCTTTTCGAATCGTATTCAAGTACACGCTATGTGCCGCTATGCGTTTTTTTAAATTGGGGAAAGACGCCATCATGCGAAAAACTACTACTAATTGTATCTATACATGTGTATTTCAATTTTATATTTAATATAGAAATAATAGAAATTTATAATAGAATTATATAATAGAATTTACATCTCTTTCTCATAGAGAACTAATCCTTCGTATATCTATATTTGAAAGCGGGAACAATGTCACTTGCTGATCTAAAGTCGGAAGAAAGGAAACGTTACATGTGTGTACACACAGAAGTACATATACGGAACATTCGTCCTTTTACTTTCGAGCAGTCTAGTAACACGGTTACCCTCGTTCCAAGGTGTTTGAATTATAGCCCATATTAAATCGGACGATATGAAGATCGCGTAATTGTCGGTGGCGAACGTTGAGTCAGCATCGCGGAAACTTTAATTATCAGTATAGCTTTCCACAGAGTTAGAGAGAGAAAGAGAGAACACGAGTTGGGTATCCACGAATTGCATCCACGGTTGGATGGCCGCTTATACCGTTGCGCAACAAGTAAATGGCTAATAACCTCGAATTGAAAGATTTCCTTTCGAACACGGTTTCGTGTCGTACAAATGCGAATGGCGGGTGAGCAGGAGGGAGGGAGGAGAGGGTGGGTGCGCACGGAAAGCTTTCTTATGAAAGCGTTTCCGCGATATGTCCGTGTGTGTGTGTGTGTATGTCACTTTATACGAATCCTTGTTTAATTTCCAATCTTGACAAATTCTTGGCAATAACATCTGCAATCAGTGCTCATGTTTAAAAATGTTGAAAACTTATATCGCTTGGTTTTTTCTTTTTAGACACACGTTTTATTAATACCTTGTGCATTTCGACGACGCGCGCTATCGCGGATGCGCGATAACGTGCGCGTCTCCGTTTATTTCTGCGGAGAGGAAACGATTGCGGGATCGCGGCAATTGCAGGCCTCTCAGCCGGAAGCGTGTCTACACTTCGCGTGACCGGCTTCGCCGGTGACTTCGAGGACTAGAACGCGAGCCGACGGTATTACTCTTTAACGGGGAAAAATATAGCGGTGCGCCGGGACCGCTCTGCACAACGAATCGAGTGCACACATACAAATGGCGGGGGTGGCGAGTCAGAGGAGGGAACAAGAGAGAGAGAGAGAGAGCCGGATAAAAGATAAAAGAAAAAACCACTAGAAGGAGTGGTAGGGAAACAGCGTAGGCTTTTAACCGGCGATCGTTTTCCGGTTTTCCGTTCTCGCGAGGCACAATTCTATCTTCGCGCTCTTTGTCTTCTCTCTCTCTCTCTCTCTTTCATTCTCCCCCTCCTATCTGTATTGCCTCTCTCTCGGGCGTTCGACTCTGCTCCTGTCCCGTCTCGGCGCTCGAGAGGGAAAGTATTTTATATCACGCTTGGCTTGGCAAGAGAAAGGGGACACGGTTCGCTCCTAATTTCTGCTTCAACTTCATGAACCTATATATCGCATTTACCCGCTGCATGTGTATACGTATACGTGGTAACTCGACGCCTGCTCGAATTGTTTCACGCGCACACACGATGCCCGCGCGACTTTTACGTTGCCGACGTGAACTCTGAGATCCGTCTGTGTCGCGACATTGCAATATTGTGCGATATACTGGATGTAAAATATTTTTGATAAAAAGAAAGAACTTTCAATTTAAACGGCATAAAATGAGTAAGCAACGAGCGGAAACTATTTTCTATAAGTTACATAACTGTAAAAAAAAAAAAAAAAAAAAAAAAACAAGTTTACAAGTTCGACAGTTCACGCGTCGGATGATCGAACTTTATATTTCTCGCGGCTAGATTTCTGTAAAGACAGAGAGAATACGAGAATACATCACTTAAATTCGCGCGAGCGTCTTGTCGTCACGGCGGGGTGTGCGGTTTTTCAGTGTTGATTTTGCGGCCGATAAAATCGTTGCGGCATTGTGCGATAAATTCTTGCCCACATTGTCGGTGAGGAAACTCTGTATACAAGACTTTTCAAGTCGATCGCTTTCGAGGACGAAGACAAGGCAAACTCGCGCTGTCGTTCGAGCGAGATCGAAAGAGAGAAAAGAGAAAGAGAGATAGAAAATGTCGGTGAGCAGGAGAGGAGAGACGCGAAGGGAAAGAGATGCAGCACAGCATCGGAGTTCCTTGTGGCATGAGTCCCTGTAAAAGTGAAATCGACTACACGCTGCACCTTCGCGGTCGTTATTATGCCATTATCTAAACTAGCAAGGGTTGCATATATGATACACAAAGATATATGATACGCAACTCGGCGCCTATATCGCCGAAGCGCAGCTGCGATTATCGCGACATTGGCAGAAACAGGCAGCGCATGCGTTTATTCGTCTCTGAGAGCGCGGTGCGATTAAGAATTTATTAAAGAATCACAATCGTCGAGTGGCACACACAGGCGCAAAATCCCGAGTCGCGCGTTCTCCAATTCCTGTTTTTGCCCTCTTATGTCGGATAATTCGACTTAGGCGCGCGAGCCATCAGCCAACAGCCATCCACGTTAATTACGAAAGTGAAAGTACAGCTCGTTCCCGCGATATAAAGCAAAAAAAGAAATCTTCGGGCTTCTTCTTCGTCTTCTTTCCACCGCTTTTACATAATCCGTCTGATTTTATTGATTGTCTCGCGGCGACCCGCTCGCCGCCCGCCTCGCGTGCGTATTGATCAAATTTTTGGCAACAACAAAAAAAAACCCGGAAATACGTAGCTTTTTTTTCGAACGATCCTATCGAGCGTCATTTCGTAATCGAATTTCTTTTGCGCGTGAATCTCGGAGAGGATTAATCGACCGCGCGAGTCAGGAATCTCGTAAAAGGATTTTCTCTACTGTACTTAGGTGAGGCAATTGCGAGAAAACGTAATTCCCTCTACATGTGTCGATCATCTCGTGTGTATATGTGTGTGTGTGTATATACATATATATAATATATATACTTATATACTTATATATATATTATGTATATATATCGCTATTTTGATAAATACATGATCAGGAGAACATCAATATGGAGAGAAAATGAAATGTGTTGCCGCGCATACGCCGAATGTTTCCCTTCCTCTGGTTGTCCCAATAGTAGGAATTCGATGCTAACCTTCATCTTCACTTTCTTACATTCATTCTCGGTCTGTCGCGCGAGCAAAATGATACGCCCGCGAGCCGTATATATATATATATATATATAATAAAAAAAACCCATGTATACTATTTTTGATGTTTTTTACGATATTAAACGATAAGATTTGCAACTTAATCTCTGCAGCGCGATACGAGTTATCTGACGAAATTTTCCAAATTGTTTATCGTGCGGTAATTTGTGCCGTCGTGATAGAGATCAGTCGATTGTCACACATCCAATCGCGTACGAGATCGCATTTCGAGCCGAACATTTGACTGAAAGGTGATACACATGCCCCTTTTTCTAAACGTCATTTCGTTATATACTGTTTTACACACGTCACAATTATTGATAACAGACACACAGAGAGATTTAAATAAAGACCGATTCAAGTGCGCAGTGATTATTATTGTTCGTATTATCATATCTCGATTGATAAGTGCGAGATAAAATATCTGCGCGCTATCTTAAAGTTACATACTCACGTGTAATTTGATGACATTCTTCATACTGTCTTTTCATATCACGATTGCAAATTCTATATCGGTCATTATCGGCTCAATCGATTTTTTTACGCGTACTTATTATGATAAAGAACATGATGAGACACAAATTTTGAGATGTATATTTTATATATACTATACTCGTTATATTTTATACAAGGTGTCAGATAATTAATCCCCGATGAGATAAACTGAAATGTTTGCAGACTATCGGTGAAATGAATGAAAATGACATAAACGCTTTAATTAAGAATTTAATCTACGTGAAATCCACTAATTCCACTAATAATCTAACTAGATTATCGTTTATTTTATATCTATTGGCTCTCCACAAATACAAAATTACATCACTTCCTACTTCAAGTTTAGCGTGTTTATTAACACTACGCAGAATTATTATTAAATTCCGAGTAGAAGCAAAAATATTCACGAAAAAATTGAATAGCAGATAAATCAATATACAATATATTTTTTGCGCGTTTAATTTCCTTTCTGTGATTAATATTTTCTCAAAAATTTCAAACGCGGAGAATTTAGATCATTTACTTGAGGTTTCACAATCGCAATATTTTAATAAGACATTACATAGTACGTATATATATTGTATACTTCTTTTTTTAATACTGTTTCTTTACTTAATTTCTATTGTAGATTCATACGAATTAAGGAAAAGAAAACGTGACACACAAACGTGTTGCTCTTGTATCTCATTGCATTTATTAATATATTAATTATATAATTGACAATAATAATACAATAATAATTAATAGACACATATATAATATATAATCAGAATAATAATAAAAAAGTAATTGCGTTTCGGTTCTTGTGACAGCTGCCTCAATGCCGTTAAGTTCCTAGCAATTCTACAGAGTTTCTTTGCTCATGCACAAATATAAAATTTCAAAAAATGCATTTGAACTTCTTATAGTGCACATATTAGTTACACACGTCAATTTCTTGACCAATTCTCTATTTTGTGTTTTATTTTAATGCTGTAAAAACTATACTTTAATTTTAATTAAAAGATTTAAGAAAAAAAAACCATCTTTTTAACTTGCCCAGAGTGAATCCCAAATCCCAAAAAAAAACTTTTTTATCTAGCATACTCAAAATCACATCACACAATTAAATCATAATATGTTTAAATTGCTCTTACACACATATAGTCTCTCAGTTTTTAATAGAAACAGAATTCGAAAAAAAAAAGTATCAATCTTTCCGCTTTAAATTATATTTTGTTTTTGCTCTATATGTGTATAATCTGTAAACGAGCAAATTATAGCTCATATGTATTAAATGCATAAAAACTACAAAGCGACAACTTGCGAGATTTCGAACACTATTCAAACGAAAAAACGTTTTTCTTGAAATTGAAGATTTTTGTATCCGTTTAAGGAGTTGAAACTACAAGATGCTCTATTATACACATACGATACGCGTATGGGGACATATATGGTTAAATACTCGCAGTAATATTTCTGCGTATTATTTGATGAGAGGAATATCGATGATCATGAACAGTACTGTTTATCAGAGTAATATCAGACTTTTAACGCTCTACTCTTTTTTTTTTCAATTTGTAGTTCCTATTGTTTCCGAGATAAATATTAATATTAAGTAATATTAATAAAATATGTGCAAAAAAAAGTAATTTTATGTAGTGTACTACATTGTGCCAAGCCAAAAGAGCTGTGGTTATTACCAATAAGTGTAGATGCATTTCCTCTCATTTGTATAAAATTTGATAAAATTTCTAGTTTGAAAAAAACTGAGAGAAAGCAGAGATAAAACTACATAGATAGAACTTGTGCCTCTGTTGTAAAATCTATTATTATATACTTATTATTATATGTACCTCGCTACGCTCGCAAAATATATAGCAAGATTAACTTAGCGGAGCCTCGATAAAATCGTAAATGAAATGTGGCGGTGTGTTAGGAGAATCTGTTATTATTTCAGAAGAAGGTAATTTAATAGTTGAATCAGTATCTCTCCATGAGTTGATATCGTTCCCTCCGATATCCAGACCGAGTCGCAAATTACCTGGTGTATTACCAATAACAAAGTGATCTTCGGTCAAAGGCAAAGCGTCCTTGAGTAAAAGCCTGAATAAACATCAAAACAAGAAAACAAAATTAGATTTGTTAAAAAGATTATTAAAAAGAAAATATTAACGTTATATATTTAATATACATGTATTTGTATTTAATAACGTGCAACGGTTGTCTTACCAAATCTCTTCGTCAGCAACAACGTGAACCTTAGGAATGGGAAATCCATTGAATGGCGACGCAACAGGTAATGTGTATGCGCCCATGTTCTCGAAAATGATCCACTCGCCAAGTTCCATATCATGCAACATCACATTTTCGACAACTTGATCCAATCCGTCGCATGTGGGACCCCATACGCTCGAAGGAATCAATTTTCCACAACCACTCTGATAATAAAAACAAATAATAATATTATAGTTCAAAAATCGTAAACAACAATAGAATGTTATTAAAGTATTCGCGTATTATCAAAGTATATTTTACGTGAATAATACACTTTACCTTGAGAGGAATCGGAGTTACGTGCTGATGATCATACAACAAACAATTGAATGATCCGTAAACGCCGTCATTTATGTAATACATGTTGTGCGTAATGATGGTTGGAGAATTTTCATCGCCGCGTACGGAACGTTTACTGTGAATACCCGTGGCCAATGTAAATGCAGACGCGACATAAAAACGGCCTGGCTCGGCGATAACGTGAACAGCATCAGCTAAAAAAATTCATTGTCAATCATCACATGACACAGTGGTTTTATATGAAATATGCTTTACACGAAAAAAAGATAAAATTACTCACTGTCGAAATAGTCGTCGAGAGCCTTGTTAATGATCTCAGCAATTTCATCAATGCTCGTATCTTTGTTTCCTGGATAACCGCCACCGAGGTCTAACAGATACGGTTTAAAACCGAGAGTGGTAGCCAAATCAAACAGAATCTTGCAATGACGAATAGCGCGACGATACACGGGTGGATCTTTACATCCAGAACCGACGTGAAAACTGAATCCTACTACATTGAGATCCAACATGTACGCGAGACGCAAAAGATTGGGTGCCTCATGTACCGGATCACAACCGAATTTCATACCAAGAGGACACACAGCTTCTACTGCGTCGCAACGAATACGTAAAACAATCTGAAAAAATTGCAATGATGTAAATGATTACATTGCGATTTACAAATAAATAATATTTGCGCAATGTATAAATTAACAAGTCTACGTCAATTTAATTAGCAATAATTGTGCAATCTAATTGTTTTGAGGCGTATAATAATCACCTTGGCAGACGGGAAGAGTTTTTTGATTTTATGCAACTCGCTCTCATTATCAACTGTCATGGTATCCACTCCTACTTCAGCTGAATGACGAATATGCGAAGCTGGTTTAGTCGGATTAGCAAAAATAATTTTCGAGGGATCAACACCAACACTTAGAACTTTGTTTATCTCGCTCTGAAAAACAAAAGAAAAAATATTAATTAAAATATTTTGAGTTGTCCTCGGGTTTCAAAAAAATTTTTTTTCCACAAATTAAGTTTTCTTGAAGAGATTATAAAAGAGAAAGACATATATCTCTTCAGAAAAAATACACTTAAATGAAATAAAGCTCGTACTTACTTTAGATGCGCAATCAAAACCGGTACCGAGAGCTGCTAATACTTCAATCACCAACAAATTATCATTACACTTCACGGCTGTAATAGACAAGAAAAAACTTCTTGTGAATAATTATCATACATTGTAACAATGCGAATTTTCTCAAGTGATAATGAGACCTACCATAATAGGGGTCAACTCGTGGCAATTTTTCTTTCCAAATTTGATGTTTTCGTACGATATCTCCAATGTCTAAAACGTAAAAAGCCTCTTCTTGTAAACCGCTCCATGCGATATTTTTGATAACGGTCATAACATCGCACTCGCTATCCAAAACATGGATGCGTTCATCAAGATTTGTTACTTTCATGTTGATGAATTAATCAATACTCTGTAGGTGCTAGGCAGCAAACTAAAAACAAACAATCGAAAGTACGTTATTACGTAACAGACTAACAACAGCTGAGAATCAAAATTTTTTTTCTATATGTATAGACAAACTAGATAAATTAATGCAATCAGAACTTACGAGGCAGCTGTCACTGCTAATCAGGTGAGTCGTTGGGAAGCGAATTAGGACAAGATCACTGTGGGGGTGCTAGCAAAGCCACGGGGGCTCTGCGTTCAGGGCCAACTTCCAGTTGCCGCAGTTATTCAAGCACCCACTGACAGACTGGCCCACCAGCCTATCGCAGACAGAACCCTGTAATAAATTAATAAGCATAGTTTTAGTTATAAATTATATATGTAGAATAATAGAAAGTCATTGAGAGGAATTTTGTAAATTATTTAATAAAGAACCTTAGACTCTGAGGTTTCTAAACGCGAATTATGTAAACGACAATAGCGTATGGCTCTTATTGCCGTTCACATATTTCGCGTTTAAATTATTTAAATTTATTGTGCGTATTGTGTGTGTTCAAATTAACGACTCTTACATATATTACTCATATTAATTTATTATACAGGCGATTGTTCTAACGATCTTGTTTATAAAATTTGTTATCAAAACAAGTTTCCCAACTTATTGCAAGTCGTCTTGGACTATGACGTCGCAATTAAACATTGCACAATTCTCACATAAGTTATATAAATTACAAAATCAATGTCATATCTGTAATAAACTTCTATACGAAGATAAAAAAGTGCATAAATTTTAAATTCAAATAATGTACTATCAAAAAACGATAAACAACTGTTTAAATATCAACGATCGCAGTAAAGCGGCATAAAAAAAGTAATGTTGTTATACCTCGGGTACAAGATAATAATCTTATCTTACATTTTATCGAAATAAAATTTTATATTTTATTCGTCAGTTATATTATATATAAATCTAATAGAATAAAGTATTACTTATTCTATTTATTAATGTACCAAATTTGTTTTATCACAATTTATATATGTCCATTCACAACAATATTAAAATTTCATTACAACAACTTATAATTGAAAATTTAATTCTAAACGAAGTATAGATTCTGTACCTGATGGGAAGTAATTCTCGTTTTTTATGTGAACAACGTGGAAATTAAATTGCAAACTGGCGAGCGATTTCAGAAAATACTTGTGAATTTCTTCCGTTCTCATATATACGTGACAGAAAAATAAAATATGTTTCACACACAAATGAGATATTTGTTTGAAAAGAGACAAGTGTTCAGAAAGTAAAGTGCTAATTTCGCGTTCGCACTGCCGAGAAGTCCCGAGCGAGCAGAATCTCAGACTGATACTAAACCCAAAGCAATGATTTGGGCCAATATTTATATGCAATTGATAAGTACTATCAGCACGTCTTGCGTGGTTTCCAGTCTCCTCATGAAGATTATCTTACGTTCAGAGAAGTACGTGGTTCATCATGGAAACCAGTGTAATGCAGAAGGGTAATACATGAGTCAAACTCCACTGGGGGGTTGGGAAATAACGCGTTTAATCTACGGCACTCAGAAATTCAATCTTCAATCTCGAGTGCTGTATGAAAGATTAACTGTACAAATGTTATATATCGTATCTGACATATATATACACACACACGTAAGAGACAGAAGAGCACATAATTAATAATATTGGGGCCGAGAGAGAATGCTTTAGAATTGTATGTATGTGATAAAATAAATCATGTGTCTTTATTCACTTTTGAACAAAATTTCTCTACAACAATTCTCTTTGACTATTTTGATTGAGACTAAGTAACATTACTCTAATGTGTGACAGATTGATTATTCAAGTAATAAAAAAGAATACCTCTCTGCTATTAGTTAAAGAATTCTAGTAATCACACTTGTGGAATCACACTGATAATTAACACTAATAAGCAATTTAGTTGTCAGTAGTTTAAGTAATTTAACTGTCATTAATTCTTAGTAGTCTAGTATTACACAATATGATTAATGACTGTTATATCACACATAAAAGAATTCTCGAAAGAATTTTAACTACATTTTTTATCTCTCAATAACAGTTTTAATATTTTTCAAGCAAAAATTAAACTTTCCTGAGAATATAGCTTTTATTTTTTCAGATGTTAAATAAGACTGTGGAGATAAAAAGTTTCTTGAAGTAATTTCAAACACACAAAGAAGCTATTTGATGTAACAATGACTTTTTCTTATGTGAAGAGGAAATACCAGTCTGAGTGAGACTTGTACAAGACTTAAAAGTGATACATGTAAGTAAAATGTATGTAAAACATGTATGTGGCCATTCAACATTGTTATTGAAACACGCGGTGTGAAACAAACAAAGTTGAAAAACATTTTCTTGTATCACGTACAGAGATGAACAGTTTCATAAGTCACAAGTTCTAAATTTTTAATCACGTTAATTTTAGATGCAGAAGAATCCAGATAAAACCGCCCAGTACAGATAAATAGCAAGAGATACTATTATACAAATAGAACTTCTTGTAGATAAGAGTCAGATAAAGAAGATTTCAAATAATTTTGAATTTTGAAGCAAAGATCAAATGTATTGTTTTCGAAACGGATTATACAAAAAATGGACCATAACACAGTTTCTTTGTCAATATTTGCTTTCATCATGGCTATATAACATCAGCGATACACACGTATGTATACATAAGTTGCTATACAATATCCGAACTCTCAAATATAGATAACAAGTATGAAGGACATGCAGAGATCATTTTATTTTTTCTAAAAAACGAAACATATGGCACATATAAGCCAGATATTGCAAGAGAATTACGAGGAAAATGTGGTAGTCAGTAAACTTTGAACCGGAGAGATACAAGTAAACAGCAGCCAACGTTTTCACGAAGAATGGTGTATTTATTATCGTGCAAATAGAGCAGGTCTTCCTCTCGTCGATAAGAAAACAGCAAGCTCAACGGTGAAACATGTGATCGAGCATGAATCATCAGTCACGAATAAAGATTTTCACGTGATAATAGCTCCTACGCTGATATCAGCAATACTGTGCAATCTGCCAAGTGTGTGGTCGCAGATACATTACCTTATCGGACAATCGCCACCCTGCGGGTCGGCACACGGTTATTGACGGAATGATGGAAGTTTTCGGTGACTGGATCTCAAAAATCAGTCAGACCGGTCGACGAGGATAATGTGAGTGTTGTTCCTCTAGCGACCAGTGCCTGTCGTCGAGTTCACGCAGGAATCGTACTCCGCACAGCGTATCGGGAAAGTACATTCGTTTTGCCCGTTCGTTATCGTCTCAAGCGTTACGAGCGAACATCGTATGTATTGTCGTGATTGAACCGTATTTTAATCGTCGAGTCGAGAATCGATGACTCTGAGTTTCGTTTTTCGATAAGACCAAGCTGAGCGGAAGGACTCTCTCGCGGAATCTCGTCGTAATCGCGAGCCTCGTGCCGCGCCAACACACCGCCACGCACCACCATGCACTCTCAGGTGCTCGCAGAGGGAAAGGAAATGATGGTATAGATCGTGGACATCATCGGGTGCTTGCAAATGGAAGGGCAGAATCACGTTCACGCATGCGTGTTGACGAGGGCATTCAGCAGACGCTTTTATGGAGTTTACATAATCCGTGGAGGATCAACTTGCCGCGACGTCCAAACGATAGATCGGACGTTTTAGTTTTAAGACTCCGCATAAAGGAACAAGCATCATAGTTTTAGTAAAACGTAAAAAAACATATCTTTTATCACTTCAAATGTATCATTTCGATTTACTTTACGTCGACATGTGTCAACTAATACCGAATTGTTATTTTTTGTTTGATGATTGGATGGAAAAAAAAGCAATTTTGCTTGCTCATAGCTCGGCTTAGATAGCAGACGCCATCTAGTAAAAAAAAAGTAACTACTTGTTCTGCTGCTAGATGACGCTTGTTGTCCGCGGTGCAAGAATAACACCCCTGTGAGTACGCTATCCCATACAACTGCACTGTCTCTGAACTGTGACCATAGGTTTGTTTTTTCCCTGAACTGGATGCACTCTAGTTCACAGTCTATCTTTTTTTATCCATATTAAAAAAAGAAAAAGATAGACTGTGAACTAGTGCATCCAGTTCAGGGAAAAAACCAAACCTAAAAGGTGTTATACACTTTGTATATTTTATTATTTATTGTATATTTTATTATTTAATATATACTGAATATATAACTAAACAATTATATTATGTCTAACCAAATGAAAAATTACAATTGATACATACTGATTTACTTAATTTTCTTAATTCTCTTAATATAATTTAATTTAATTCTAATTTAATATAATTTTCTCTCTTTTCCTTTTTCAGGTTCTTGTTTTCAAAAAATATCAATCCTTATTTGTAGAAACATTTTTGATTTGTCGCAGAAGAAAGTCCGAAGCGTCTCTGTTTATTAAAGAAAAAATTACCATCGCGACGACTCGTTTGAATTGAAAAAACATCGTAAACAGCTTCTTCACAGCAAATTCGGTAGCCTGCACTAGTGCGCACTGAGTGCGACTTTTAATGAAAAAAGTCCATCGAATTCGCTGTCAGACTCTTGTTTTCAAAAGATAACGGTCTTATTACACGTTAAGATATTGTACGATGAAAAACTTTTGATTTGCCACACAAAAAAGTCTCCGAATTTATCGTCAAATTAATTTTCGAATTATGACCGTTACTGCAAAGAAATCGATCGGATTTGTCAATCGTATCTATCCCGCATTTGAGACGTCATCGAAATTTAAACATCACAGATGTACGGGTTTACACGGACGCGCGCGCACATGCTTAAATAACGGTTTGTACACATCTGTCCCCCATTCCGTGTGCTCGGTGCACAATAAGGGATAGTAAAGAGACCCCCCTTTTTTGCTTCTCTACGAGACGCGCAGTTGGGATCGTCGCGCGTGTAAAACGCGTAGACAATAAGAAGAAATACCGGTTGTACAAGCGAACGATCTCTGTGACCGAAAACCGCATTCTCCCGGATAAGACGCGACATTCGCGATAATTCCGGATCGGTATTGTCACAATACAAGAAAATACTATTTCTGTTTCTGTTGATAGCCTGAGTATTTTCCATTATCGATAGCCCCGATCTGCGTCAATTAGCAGCGACGGCAGACGCAAATGAGATTTTTCCTTGGCACCTCGAGAGATTATTCACCGTTCCAATGGACGCGCGTGAACGTCGTGCGCGTTTATGACGCACAACGATTTGCATACAAGCGCAGTTTTTAACACATCATCTTCTCAATGAATCAAAATTGAAAAACGATTTTTATAACTGACAATAAGAAGATTCTAATTACCAAGTAAATTGAAGATTTTTCAACAATGACCGGTTTTGTTACTGAACCATCGTAATGACCGTGATGATTCATTCGCAATTCAAACTCCGCGCGCTTACAAACATAAACAAATTCTTCATACATAAATTCTTTAAATGTTTCTTACGTTCCCGAAATTCGACCGAACGTAATTTACGAATGCGTGTGAGTGACTCACACGCATGACGCATTACCGCGGGCATTTTACACGCAGATGTCCCGAGCGGCGCGTGCCGCCACACTACGTCGCCCTCGATGAATGGTGCCAAAGTTGTTCGGGGGGGAGGCAAGATTCTCCGCTTCGCGTTCGTTTACGGCAGAGCGATAGTCACGCACCTGGCTTTCAAAAACGCCATTGGCGTGATTTCGTGAACGTCTTGCAACTGCATACGTAGCTCAATGGACATCGAGACCTCTGGTGATGTCTTACGATTAATTACGCCAATGCAATGCCCGAGTCGTCTCTTCTTCGAAGAGACAATCTCTTTTATGTCGCGTTTTGAAAGTAAAATGAGTCTTCCCGCCTCTTATCGTAGCGCGAGCCAACTTCAATTGTGGGAGTTGCAATGATTTTTCTTTTTATTTGCAGATATGTCAATCGACATGTGACGTGGGTAGTCTGTCAATGATGAGATTTAAATGTCTGTTTTTTAAATTTGTAGGAAGATGAGACTTCCCTTCTGGTTTAAAACACTTTGATATTTTGCGCGTTAGATCTTTCAAAGTGACCTAATTATTCTTTTTTTTTCTTACGCTATTGTAAATTTCAATTTTTTTAAATATTCCATATAATTTTTTTTATATTAACGAGACGCATTCGTATTAAAACGCTTATCTAATCAAATTAAAAAACCAAATAAAAAAAGTCTCATTATATTTTTTGTTACTTTGATTTTTTTTTTAGTTACTTTCAAGACTTCGATATATTGTGTCGCGCGTCTTCATTCATCATCGCAAAAGAACTTGTTACAACAATGCGCCGTCGCTTCGTGCAGATCTATTAATTTGCATACTAGAATCCGGATTACCTTGTGTTTATCGACGTTCAATTAAAGGCCTTCCGGCTGTCAAAGAGAGTGCGTCTCGTTACGGTTTGACGGTTACACACGGACACGCGCTTCTCAACCCCCCGTGTATGCGTGTGTGTGCGTGCGTAAATAAGGGGGCACGCGTGGGGAACGGAGTGCCCCGTGGCAAGCTGCCCCCATGGAAACGGCAAAAAAGGGGAAGGAGGAGCCGCTGCGTTTTCACACGACTTGGCTTACGTTGCCTTTTGGGCGGGAAAGGAGGGGCACACCGGAGAAGAGATCGAGTCGCGCGACGAGGAAGTCGGAAGTCGTGCCTCGAGTCAGTCGATTGTGGAGCATTAGCGCGCTTAGGTCAATCGTCGCCGTGCACCCGCACAAGCGTCTGGTACTACATGCGCGCGTGTGTGTACATGTCTGATGTGCATTTGATTTTGCGAATCGAAATTTTACAACCGATCTCGAATTGCAAGTGAATTTTCTAATCGAATACGCAGTGATCGAGATGGAAAAAATGACAAAATGAATTGCGGTTCAATTAATCGAGAAGCTTTTAAATTAAACAAAGATATCTCGTTTAATTTAGCAAAACAATTGATTTGAATTGAAATTTGTCGCTTCGCGAGAAAAGGTTGAAGAAAATTATTGTGGTTTCGTCGGGGATCAAGATCCATCGAAGAAGAGCTAGTGTCGTGTGCCGGAACTTGCACATTAAACAGCAGTGGCCTATGGGGGTTGCATCGGACACCATACGGTCGGTCTCCAGGCAGCCACGCGACCACCGAGCCGTGGGAGGGTCGTTTCACTCGGTTGAGTCGTGAAAGCACCCGTTGGGGTAACATCGCGTCGCATCGCGGCCATGCCCCTGTGGGTCTCCCTTGAGGTCTTTCCAGTTTATCGAGTCTCCTCACTCATGTTTGTAACGTGAAATTTTGCAACGTGAACAAAAAATAAAAAAACGGAGTCCAAGATATTTCGCAATTGCTTTTCGACTGTTTACGCGTAACTTCGTTGAGCAAAGACGGTGACGAAACCACAAAATGAGCGCGTTCAAGAGATATCAGAGCAAGGTGTTTTGGGATCGAATGGCGTCGCACGATCTGGGCGAAGATCGATTTTTATCGGGAAACGATACGTCGTATTGCCGTCGCGACGAGCACCAGGAACAGATCGAAAACGAGCACGAAAATTCGTCCGGCAGCAAATCGGAAAACGATACGATCGAGTGCGGGAACGTAACCGCGATACGTGTTTGCAATAAAAGCGACGAGAGTCACACGCAAGACGAACGTTGGACTTCGTTAGTACACGACGAAAATGCCGCATGTTCCAGGTATGTAAAAAACATTTGTACTTTTTATTCTCTTGAATAAAATTATTAAAAATTTTACACATTGAGGGAGAAATAAAAAATCATTTTAAACATACCCGAAATATTTAATATAGTGACACATTATTTATATATTATTTTACTAATCACGTTCACATTAAGCAAACAGTTTTGAAAGCGATAAATTTAAATGCGTAGAACTCAAGTAGACGAAACGGCGGAAGACGAGGAAGAGAAACGCGATAGCGTCGCGAGAAACAGATCCTGCAGTCCTTTGAGTCAGGACTTCAAAAGCCAGGATTCCGGATTCTCCGACTCCGAGAGATCAGACTGCTCGGAACTTTACGAGAACGCGACTCCGAAGAGAAAATTGCGAAGAAAGAAGAGAAGAAATAGAATCCGATTGACGGAAATCGCTTCTCCGCCGTGCTGGCCGGATGAGGAGTCTTCTCCTATGCCAACGCACACGTCCACACCGAAGAATTCCAAGATAATCGTCGCGAGGAATCGTTTCGGAAAATCCAGGCGAAGCCTGCTGGAACATAGGTGAGTCGAAAGAATTGTTGATGAGAAATCTTTCCTGAATGAGAAAAATAACTAACTCGTCGTTCGGACCTCGGACCGAACGAGTGTGAGGAAAGATTGATGAGCAATCGTGTTCTATTTAGATTCAATCATCGATTTTACACGCCGCCAAATCGGGCGGAAGATTAATCGAGTCTGATTCACAGCGCGTGCTTGTAATTTTCTGCGAAAAACCGCACCGTTCACGTATAAGAACCGATCGTACAATTGAATGCATTAAATAAAATATCCGATGTGTGTGCGTGTGTGTGTGTGTGTTTGTACTAGAAAAAAAACTTGGTGTATTTGAATTGTTCGAGATATTATAAACGCGTTCGATTTTGCGCAGTGCAGCAAAATGTTTGGTTTGCAATTACATCACACGTCTCACAGAAAACTGGAAATAATCTTTCCATCGGTGAAAATCGATAAGATACACCGTAAGCAACTCTCACGAATGTGACACGTAAGGCAGTTTCTCAGTTACGATATATCCATATTTTTTTTTCTAATCTAATGTAAGACACGTGTGTGTAATTCGATAAATATGTGAATCATTCGTATTAGCTTTATTGTGTCGCAAGCGCGACGAGACGTGCGGTCCCTCCGAGGAATCGTATATGTGTACATACGTACGTACGTACGAAGGGGCGCGCTCGCGTCTCTCCTCGTGTTACTCGTCATAATAGACCGTGAAAAACGTCGAGCGTCAAATGGATGATTATTATCAGTCCTCGCGTCGTGAAGACGCTCCGGACGCTTATCGTGGTTGGGTCATTGTATGCGCATCACGCCCTCGCATGTGTACGCCGTATACCGTGCCAGTCCGATCTTTTTACGGCGCGTAACACATTTTTCTCGACGACGCAAATCGAGACCGTGCACAACTCGCGCGACGATTAATAATCGACCCGATTAGTCAGTAAATTACGCACGCGGTTGCGACACGCAGCTTCCTTCGTCTGTTTTCCTCTTGCTCGTTGAGATCGGCGGATTGATTGCAAGAGACCCCTTCCCTCCCGCTATCCGCTGTCGTTTGATTAAAGAGTTCCGCATAGGAATGCGTGCCCCTTGTAACACGAGAATGCAAATCGATATTGCGCGCCGGAAGTACACGCTCTCGTATCGCCGAACTCGCCGTATATCTCGCGTTGCGTTTATCGTGCGAAACAAAGAAAATTGAAAAATTTTGTTTCTCCTTTCTTTGTATATTTACAAAATCGTGATAAATCGAGCGTCGCTTGTTGTGTTTCCGACGTTACTCTTTTCTGTCAGTCACCGTGTACATTCGTGAACGTCGTACGTACGTGAGTCAATGCGGCACGCCGCACGAGAAGAATACGTAAATGAATGACGGGGGAACTGGAGAGACTCGCGAGAGAGGTTTGAGTCAATCGCGAGGTCGGTGCGCGACAGCAAATCCACGAGGAATTTAGCTTGAAACAGCACACACAGCGTGCACCGGCGCAAGCAGCTGAGCGCAGGTGGACGCGTTACAATACAAACGTGTCGGGGAACACGAGATTAGTCATCGCGTTTGCGAGAAAAAGAGCTGGAAGTTTTATCTCTCTGTGTGTGAGCTACTCGGCTCGGATTAGTCAACTCTTTCTACGTTCCGCTGTATCTTGCGGAAGAAAAACGACGATATATGATTTTGACCGCATTGTATCGTGATGTGTCTCGCAGTTGTGAGATGACAATAGACGCGTCATGACGCCGACCGGGATTTAGTCGACTTGCTATGGCTCGTTTGAGGTATAATCGTAGCTTTAAATAAAATTTATTACGGAGAACTCTCTATGTATGAAATAAAACTTCTACAGAAGTGAAAAATAATCGGGAAAAAATAGCGTTTTCTCTTTTTTGTTTTTTGCGTGACACAAATTTTATATTGATAACTAACATCTTTCTATTGTTTTCAACACGCTTATCACAAACGCAACCGTGTTTTTCTTGTATAATTCAGAACCGACGAGGAGCGCAGCAACGCATCGAAAGCGTCCTCGGCCGTCTCGCTGGAAGATGAGAGCCTGGGCGATTTTCTGTACGCGTCCGAGCCGCCGGAAGACAGCGTTCAGACATCAATAGCGAAATCGCAGGCGTCCACGGACGCAATTGCTGCCGGCAGGGAGGTGTTGAATTCGAGAGATTATCGTTTATCGTCGTCCTTGAGGATGTGGCTGACCGATCTCGCTACGAAAACTGAGAACGAATGCGGCAGCATGCTTCAGAGCAAGAATCTGCCGCGCTGTAGAGTTCGTCTCATGTCCGGTGAAAAACAGGCGCGAGAGCTGAAGATGCTGTCGTCCGCGGCCACCGCGGCCGCGAGCAAGCTTCTAGTCAATGCCGAACACTTTGAACAATACTTTAAGAGCATCGTCAAGTAAGATCGTTTTCTTTAATCTTTCAAATACTCTTGAATTTTTTGAATAAATTATTATATATTGTTTGGATAAGAGAAACTTCATAATTAATATATAATTATAGCTTAATATATGTAAATATAAATATGTTTGATTACCAGGAGATTAACACGCCTCGAAAAAGGCAGATCCGAGACGGAGCTGTTGCGCAGCATAGAGGAAGCCGCGTTCTCGCTCCTCTCTCAAATAGGAGCGCCTCCTCCTCGCAGGATTCATCAGGGTAATCTGAGGAGCATCCTAGCGCAGTTGCAAAATATGAAGACATACGTCGACGGCACGATCGACACGCGTTTAGATTTTTACATAGAGGTTGGTTGTAATCATCATCGTTATCAGTTTTATTCGTCAAAAAGTGATTGTAAATTAATCGAGTTTTGATTTTTGTGTCTTCAGAAAATAATTCGCGGCCTCGAGGAAGCTCCGCGAGAGGACACCAGCGTGGTCAAAGGTGCTCTGGCAGCTCTGACGGCTCTTGGACTGTCCGATCCTCGCGCGGGAAACAGCATCGCTCGATGTTCCGGCATAAAAGCTCTCCTGACGTATCTCATCAGCGTCGATTATCGCACGTCGGACGATCTTGTCTCGGTCGTGTTGCGCGCTCTCGCCAGCGTGTGCTGTTCCACCATGGCCATTGATTACTTCGCGCGAGACGGCGGTTCCGAAATCCTGACGGATCTTCTGAGCGCGGAAACCACCTCCGAGACGGAGAAGACCGAGGCTACCGCTTTGGTGGTTCAAATCACAGCGCCGTGGACCAACGCGCACGGTCTGCCGTACCTGGAACCTTTCACGGACTCGCTGATCCCGGCGTTAAATCGACTGGTCGAGAGCACCAGTTGCGCGCAAACTTTACTGTTGACCGCCGCTGCGCTGAATCACCTGTCCAAGTCAAGGCTGTGCACCGGAGTCATATTGGAACGAGACAGCGTGACGAAGCTTCTCAGGAGTGTGAAGAAGTCCGCCGGCGGCAACGTCTGGCTGATGGAACAGGTCGCTGCGCTGATCGGCGAATTAGCGCGCGTTCCCGAAGGCCGGTCGTATTTGGCGAAGGCGCGAGCCTCCGTAGCGCTGGTCTCTTTTCTCAGAATGAGGCCACCGGGTTTGGAGGACGCGTACCGACGGCTGGAGATCACCGCGACGGCTGCGCTGACGAGACTCTGCGTAGAACCGGAAGTCGCGAGGCAAGTAGTCGCGATTGGCGGCGGAGATTGTTTGCCCGGTCCGTGCAGAGTAAATGACGCACAGACAGACGGGGAGGAAGAGGAAACGCAAGTGAGAACGGGTCTGTTAAGATACACCAAGTCGTTAAGACGAGCGTGCAAAAAGGCGGCGAAGCAAATTGGGATCGCGAAAGCGAAAGATCACAGTTCTTTCGGTTGAGGAAACACTCAGGAGCGAAAGAAAAAGGCCCAGTATAACAGATGTACATGATTCTAAATAGTTAATAAGAAAATAACAAAAAAATCAGCTGTAAATATATGTTAAAAATATAGATTTTTAAAAGACATATTTTTACATTAAATTGTAAAAAATAATGTAAAAATGAGTTTTTTTTGTGAAGAAAATACATGTATATGCATGTATTTTTAACTCTACAGTATGATATCTCATAGAAATGTGAAGACTCTTCTAAAATACGTCATGATCTATGTAGTATGTAGTGTAAAAAATATGATTAAATGATATGATTAAAAATAACCGCATTGAATTCTCAAAAAACGAATTGTTCAAGTCGTGTTCTATCTGGTCACGTTCCGAAGTTGATTCTTGTGAAAAACATCTACAGTAGTTTCGAGACACGGTCTTAGTTCTAAATCGCACGAGCCAAGAACAAATTTGCCTTGCGGCGCTTTGAAATAGCTCAATCCACGTCCGATTTTTATTATCCACCCGTTGCTCAGTCTGAAACCAAATGACAACAATAGTTACAGAACAAGAAAATTGAATGATAACAAAAAGCTTCTATTAAAAACTATGTAATGTAACACATTGGTAACTTTACGTGATTTGTCTGTCGTGCAACGTTTCGGAGAAGGAGATGTTGAAATCAATGTTTTGCGAATTCAAACTGTCTTTCAACTCGTTCAGTCTCGCGAGTTGATTGAAACTGTCCTCGGGATCGCAAGTTGTGAGCAGAGATATTCGGGACAGTGAGGAGCATTTTTGAACAAGCAGTTCGCAAAGTCTAACCATGTTCTGACACTGTGAAGAAAGTGATTCAATTGTAGATACAGTTCGTAAATATATTTCAAAGCAATTCTCTACTGTACTATTTATCTACGTGCGCATAAATAAACTCGTACCTGATGAAAGGATCGAATGTACGGATCTTCGACGTAAACGTAAGTGATATTGTTGTCTAGGAATCTACCGAAAACAGTTGCGTAACTGTGCCCGGTCGATCCGTCTTCGATCTTAATTACTTCTCTGTAAGTGCCGTCTGCTTTTTTCGTTTCTATCAGTTTCTTCACCCTCTCGGCTTTCTCCAGGTACTCGTTCACCTTGAGGGCGAGAGGATTTTTCGACAGATCAGTTTTCGACGTCACGTTTTTTTGCTCTGCATTGTTTCATTATCGTATCATTAAATTAAATCACGAAGCAAGTAACAAGCTTACTTTGTGCCACAAACAATTTTTCATCACAAAAAAACACAGAGTTCTAGAAAAAACGACAANAAAAAAAAAAAAAAAAAAAAATCATATGCTCAAAAAACTAATAAAATCCGAACCTTTCAACGCGTTGAGAAGTATCTGTATGCCTTCCTGGTACAAAGTCATTGCTAATGTGTACTGTTGCTTCCGATCCAACTCCACCGCACGCTTCAGGATCGACGTAGCCGCGGATTCCATGTTGTTTTTCTGCTACTGCAGCACGATTAATTCGAAAGTTCGGAACACGATCTGAAAATATATACTTAAAGAAATCCCCTCGGGACATTAAAATCTCACTCTGTGTGACGTGTATGTACATACTGATATACTACTATATAATCTACAATTTTTTTCTGAGCGCGCGTTCGATAAAACTCGGATAAATATCCTTATCGTAACGCGCGCGCGTAATGCGATTCTCGCGACGCTAGTGTCACGTTACACCCGATATAAATGCGTTCAAATCCGGACAATGTCGACACAATGCGTCGTTCCGCGTGTCTTAAATAATAATTTTGCGCGAAACAAGAATCACAGATCGCGCGCGATCTTAAATTTCAAATATTTAAATATCTCGATTATATCGATACGAGATTCGCGCGATTGTCACGTGACGGCCGCGATTCTCGCGGAATCGAGCATGGCGACGCGGAAGATTTTGACGGGAAGTTTTGGATCCTGACGCAATAACCTAACCCTAACCTAGTCGCTTCGATGTGATCACCATGTGAGAAAGTGTGACGTAGCATCGCGTTTGTTCGAAGCACGGTACTCACAGGAGAAATTCTTGGATGTTATTCGCGTGTCTCGTGAGATAAATCGTGAACTGAGCAAAACACAAATTTTATAATAACATACTCACTTGAACTTTCCATCAACACGATACACTGGCTGAATTCTGCACGTAAAGCTTACGTGCACTGTACGCGAATAGGGCGTCTATAGTTTTGGGACGCGCTCACGGTATTGCTAGAGTTCACTGATAGAGAGAAGACTAATAAGAACTCTACAGTACAGATAACTACGGAATTGACACAAATGCGCTTTGTTGACTTGTCCATTGTCCGATGTACTCTACACTCGAACTGAGACGCGTGCGTATCCTCGTTCTTTGGTGAGAAAAGGAAGAACAACAAAGTGAATCAGCTGCGACGTCACGTGACCGTCTCAATGATACAAGCGGGAAGAGTGTTTTAAAGTAGAAAAAAATAAATGAATATACACAAAACAATGTTTTGTAAATTCTTTTGAGACGGTGTGTGTAACACATAGTAGTGCCCGTCTTGCGTGTGTTTTAATTAACAGCGATGAAATCGAGCAAAATTGTAAACACCAGCGGATTGTGGGGCGAGTTGCCGGCGCGGGAGATGCTCAAGCAGGAAGTCATAACTCCAGATCGTATAGAAAATATCTGGCGACAAGTTGCGAACGATTCCAACAACGCCGACGATCATCGCCGAATGGACAAGCAACCTGAATATCTACAGTAAATTATGTTTTCTAACACTGATGATCAATGAACACGAGCGAATATTGTTGACTTTGCGTTGCCTCTCTTTTGTAGATTACCAATGGGAAATGTGCATGTACTGAACACTGTAAATTTCCATCGACAGTTGCGGACAATGGTGAACAACTTGAACATACAATCTTTGATACAGCTTTGTTGGAGTCATTACTTTTTCACTGTGTTAAATTGTTTTTTTACAGGAAGATGGAATTCTGCTCGGAAGTATGACCGTCATAGAATCTCAGAATACAAGAGATTCGAAAGATCAGATTCATCCTAGAAGCCTGTTCCATTTCCTGTCTCCTCAGACAAAAAGGTATTTGTCATCTTGTGGACTATCGTTACGCAGTTACGTTGCGATCATTAATGTTGCGTGTTATTTCAGAAATAAGATTTTTAAGGACGGTTCCACCATACATTATTTAACACCGCAAACTGCACGAAGTTTGTTGAGACACGCTGTGATCACTCTGTTGGCTCACATTGGATTTGAAACCTCATCGGACGTAGCTGTCGAAACGCTCACCGACGTAGCGGATCATTTTCTACGACGGATGACTCTGTTGTTAAAAGCAGCGACCGAACGGAAAGATAATGGATTTCCTGTACGAAAACAACCTCATTGATGATTTTGCGTACGTTCGTCGTATGTACGAAACAATTTTATGTTCATTCAGGATGCCGCGGAAAGAGTGTTGCTTGAGACGGGTGTAGGTGGAGTAGCAGCGCTACACGAATACTATCAAGAGTACGTCTTGAAGTTCGAGGAGAATATGAAGAAAAAAGTTGAAGAGATGCTGGAGAAACAGAGGATTGAATTTAATGCCTGTAACAAGTATTGAATCGAGCCATAATTTTTCCCAGAATAGACACACGCAGGTGCTCTCGGTCTAAATTGTCTAACGAATTGTTGTTCGACTTTTCAGGGTTTTGGACGAGGCCAAGCTGAAATTCGAAGAGCTGGACGAGTTCGGTAACGTATATCGAGAAGTTCCGACCTTGCAACTGCTCGATCCCGAAATGGGCTTCCCACAGAGTCTGGACGCTGGGTTTCAAATGCTCTACAACCTCGAGCAGGATGAGTAGGTCTCTCTTGTCACATGTTTAGCCCATGTGCTTTTGAGATAAAAGCGAAGCGGCACGGTGATAAGTTTAGCGTTTCCAGATTGAACAGCATGGAGGTGGAAGAGGAGGAAGTGAACGTAAACGATTCGCCAAATACGGTAGGGCAACAACGGTCGGATGTGGTGGTTAAAAAAGGATGTTGAAAGAAGAGAGAGAAAGAGAGACTTATATGTAATATATGTAAATATAACTCTTGTAATTTAATTTGTGTTCTCATGTTTGTGTCGTTTCAAGGTTTGTATCATTTGCGCATTAAAAAAGCAGATTTTGTTCTTTGGACCTCTCTTTGTAATTACCCTACTTCCCTACTTTCAGCCAAGACGCGAACCTTTGACGAGTCGATAAGGTAGTATTTAATTTGAGTAATGACGTGACATTTAAGAGAGAGAGAGATCGATAAAATAGAACATCTTCAGGGATCTTTGCCGCGAGAGAGTGTCACTTCGCGATTTCGCGATGTGTTGTTTTCTTTCTGGATAATTATATTCCTCGCGTGCGATTTTTTTTTTTTTTATTGCGTTAGGTTTGATCACGCCGAAGAAAACTCGTTTATGGATCATTGCTGACTCGAGCGCCCGAGCAATCAGCCTCTGCCACGCGTCCCGGGATTGCGTCGTGACGCACGTTGACGACACATCAAAAATGGCAGATTCTGCGCCCACAAAAGCTGACATTGAGGAGATTTTCAAGCGATTGCGAGCCGATTCGACAAACAAGGTTTGTTTCGCGAGCGCGACGTCTTAAAGCTAAGCGGACGATAAATTCGCGGATATTTTAGCAAAATGATTGATTCGTCGAGAGAGTTGCAATGTGTCACATATTATTCGAACAGCAGATTTCCTCACAGCTTTCTTTTCCGTCGTGTAACGCAAAAGTGGGGATTGCAACGCATTGAATGTAGAACACCTGTATCTACTGAAAAGTTTGTATCAATTGTTCCGCAGAATATTTCATCGTCATAGAACGCGACATTTTCTTTTGTGCACGCTTGAATTTCGCTTGAGTTTCGGGAGCAGTCGCAGTTGATCAGATTTTTTGTTTTTCTCTGTTTACAGACATGTTTCGATTGTAATGCAAAAAATCCAGCATGGGCAAGCGTAACGTACGGTGTCTTTTTGTGTATCGACTGCTCGGCGGTCCATCGCAGTCTGGGTGTGCATCTCACTTTCATCCGATCGACCCAACTTGACACAAACTGGTCATGGCTGCAGCTCAGAAACATGCAACTTGGTGGCAATGCCAATGCTGTTAGTCTTTTGATTTGTGAACTTTTGTATTTGTTGCAAAAATTACGAGGAACAATTTAATAACATATGTGGTTAATTATGTTAATTTTCAGAGGAAATTTTTTATACAACACAATTGTACCACAACAGACGCTCAGCAGAAGTACAAGTCACATGCTGCTATGTTATATAGAGAAAAATTGGGCCAAGCTTCTGCCCAAGCAATGCGCAAGTATGGCACAAAGGTATGACTGTTGAACTAATGTAACTAGCTATATATATCTATTGAATATACTATAAGCATGTATATTCAATAGATATAACAAAAAAAAAAACTCTACACTATAATGACAAACATAATTATAGGTTTCCCTTTCTACACCAAAAGATAAGATAATGGTGAGCTGAGTAAATGTTTTAAAAGACCATTTTGTCTTTTTTTTTTTTGGAAGTTAACTAATATCTGTGCTTGCCACATTCATTCTAAAAAGTGCTTCTCACCTATAAGTGTTACATACATGCATACATATTGTTCCTCATATTGTTTAACATCAGTGCACACTTTCTGAATGCAACAATCTACAATTGTTCAATTATACATATGTGGATGTTTACAAGAAAGTTCTTTATAACAAATTTATCGTATGGAAACTAATACATAAAAAATTTGCAGTTTTCAAATGATTATTTGCATTAAGAGCTATCTGTTTAAATGATTGCTCTGTTGTTAGTAAGATGCGTCAGTTACGTGTTTATTCATTCGTTTTTGCTGCTGCATTTAATTTTTATGGGGCATTTTGATTGAAACTTTATACACAATGTTTCAAGGTTTGCGCACCCTTGTTTTCTAGTTGCATTTAGAAGAAAACACGCAACCCGCATCGGAAGAAACAAACGAGCCAGATTTCTTCAAACAGCACGAGAATTTGAACTCGAATCGAGACGAAACGATAAGTTCGACAGACAAAGCATTTTTCACATCTGACACTGTGCCAAACAATGATAGTACTGCGAAAAGTACACCAGAAGCCGTTTCTAATTGTTTGGGACCGTCTGTAAAGCTGTTTGATACTACCTCAAATATGCAATCTGAAAGAAAACCTACCATTGGTGGCCGCACAGTGCAATCCAAACGTCCTGGTGGTGTAAGTGCTAGTTTGCGGCAAAATATAAAACAATGCACATTACGATCATTAACGTTTCCTTGAAAATACATTACAGTTAGGAAAGAAAACTGGAGGTTTGGGTGCGCAGAGAGTCAAGACCAATTTTGATGAGCTGGAGAGAAGTGTTTCGGAGGCACACAAAGAAGCACAGGAGAAGAAAAAAGAGCTGACGAAAGAAGAGCAGGAAGAAATAGCCTCGCGTTTAGCTCAGCAAGCGAAAAAGGTGGAAGAGAGAGCAAAGCATATGGATCCGTCGAAGGCTACGCAAGCGGAACGACTTGGAATGGGATTCAATGCGCGAAGGTGAATATACTCGCGCTATTTCTTTCTTTTGTGAGATTTATTTGAGTTTTCTTCTTTTTTCTCATCAGTGGTGTGACTCATTCCGCACTCGGTGACATGAAGACAATAACACAGGAATCGAAGCCGACAGTAATAACGTCTGGGGAAGTTCAGACGGAACGGGAAGTGGACAACTTTTTTACTTTAGACGAATATTATTCGGTTTACGCTAGCAATAATAAGCCATCTTCGCGCCATGACGAGATAATTGTGGTCATGGATGAACCACCCAAACGAGCAGCTCCCCATACTCGATCCACAAACGTTAAGAGCGATACGAAAACTTCGTCTAACGTCGAGGGAGAGGCTCAGAAGAAGTTTGGTAGCGCCAAGGCTATCAGCTCGGAGCAATACTTTCAGGACAGCACTTCTGATAACGCGGTAAGAACAAATAGCATATCTATTGAAAAATGTAAAACTTGTTTTTTGTTTTTTCATTTTTTTTTCTTTCTCATTGTCAAAAATTCTTTTGTACATTTTTAGTGGGAACGTAAGAACAATTTGAGTCGTTTCGAGGGTTCGTCCAGCATCTCGTCAGCCGAATATTTCGGTACTGACAATTCGGCGACGTCGCCCACGTCCTCGTTGTCTATGCGTTTTACCGCTGGAAGAGCCGGAGTTGTGGATCTCGAAGACGTACGAGAGAGCGTACGTCAAGGTGTAAACAAGGTGGCCGGCAGGCTAAGCTCGCTCGCGAACGCGGCCGTCTCTTCTATACAAGATCGTTACGGACTCTAAATTCTATTGCATTTTATGGAAAGAATTGTTACACAATATATACTTATATTACTCGGACTTGTTCCGTTGTTCAGAACTGTAAATAAAAGCTTATACTTGAGCTTTTTGCGTATAACTTATTCTTCGATTATATATATATACATTGCGCATCTGATACACATTAGAGATATGTATGTATATATGTATGTACGTACATATACGTGATTTTATAAATGACGAAGCAAGATGAACGTCATATAAAAGTACGCAGAAAGTTGAGTGAGGATATAAATATATATATAAATATAAATACAATATATTTTATAAATATTCTGATTATCTTTTTTTTTTTTTTTTTTATAACAAAGCGTGCCAATGTATCAGTAAAAAATATATATATATATTGAATATGAAACTTGACAAAATATATATATACATATATGTATATGTATATACATGTGTGTGTCAAATTTCATACTTAATGACTCCATATATATATATATATATTGCACAACAAATTTTCTATATCAAAAAGTCAAAGGTACATCGACACGAGAAAAGAATATACAACATTTGAATTAAATTAGATTCAATCTGACCTAATTTGCTCTAGAAACTAAAAACATTATTGATCTACGTCCGACGGAGGTTCTTGGCAGCGCATGACTAGTCGCGAACACGGTTTGCCGTGAAGAAAACACACGAGTATCATCGTCATGTTGTCGCAACCGGTGCCCATGAGAGCGTCCGGCGCCAGGCAACAGTTCAAAAGCTCCTCGCAGATCTCTTCCGGATGTATCGAGACGATCTCGTGGTGCGAGTCTCTGGCACCGAGGTTTATTTGAGCTATACGTGTTCTCACAAAATTTACGACTTCCTCACTGGTCATCACGTCCCAGATACCGTCGCACGCCAGAACAACGAACTCCCATCCCTCGTCGATGGGAAACTGTTGCACTTCGGGAAAAGCTGCGGATAACGAAATAAAAAAACCATCACATTTTATTCTACATGTCCGCGGGTTTTGTCAAACATTTTTATTTATCATTACCAGTGACAATTTGTTCCTGCGGTGGTTTCTGATCGTTCCGCTTGAATATAAAGTCCCCGAGCGCGCGTGACAACGCCAAATTGCCATTCACTCTCTTGTACTCGACGTAACCACCCGCGGCTTCGATTCGCTTGCGTTCGTCCTTCAACGTGGGCTTGTGATCCCGACTGAGCGGCACCGTTCTGCCGTTGATACACGCTACCGCTCTGCTGTCACCTGCATTAGCCTACACAAAGCTTTTCCACTGGTCAGGAATTCGAATGTCGAATGCATTTTATCGCTGACAAAACAAAAACAAGCGACTTACGCTGTACAAAATGTTGTTCTTGATGAGAAGCGCGATGACAGTGGTGCCAGCGTGTTCATCTCTAAGCGCGGCATTGTTCTGCATAGCTTTGTCCAACTCCAGAAAACCCTGTTGTATACCTTCCACGATATCGCCCGCTTTGTACTCGCTTCTTCTGGTTATGTACTCGTGAAGATGTTTGCCAGCATATTGCGACATGGTGGCACCTAAAGAATATAAAGATACTTTCACACTCAATTTACTCTAAATATACACAATTGTTTCAGAGGTTTCGTTACATCATGAAAGATGATTTGCGCTGAGAAAACAAACTCACCTCCGTGTCCGTCATAAACAGCGAAGAATGCAGTACCCGGGTCAGTAGGTAAGGACAGTATGTGCACATGCGAATCTTCCATCTTGATACGCCATCCTTGCATACATGAACTGCCCACTCTGTAGTTGCTGTCCCGACAACAGGCGGACTTCTTCTTCGTTATCGGCTCGCTAAGTGTTTGTCCCATTTTCCCTCTCAACTGCCGAGCCTGTGTGTATGTGTGTAAGCAATACATGACATTAAATTGCTTATTATTTAAATTATTATTATTGTTATTTTTGATATGACATTATGATATTGAGATCAATACAGACACAGTGAATTCTATAGTAAAAACAAAATAAAAAACTTATTTACATGTCTATATCAGGAATATTTCGGTTGGAGTTTTCCTCAGTTTTCCTCTGCGCGACTTTGCAATAAACGAGAAATTTATAAAAAAAAAATTACACGAAAAAGATCGACCCAATTCTATTAATCAAATAGACAAAGGGTTCTTGTTACATTTACGCGGAAAAACGACCGATTTCATATCGATACCGTGACACATTTGAGCGAGTCCGATTTGAACGAAAATTTTACGCGCGTAAAAAATATCGTCGGTCCGCGGAATCTCTTTGTAACCGCGTGTCTCTTCAACCTCGCGCTGTCGTCCGTCTCTTAGAACTCCGATCAGATCGCGCACCGTTCGCGTCGCTCCGATTTCATAACAGCCTTTCTCATGTAGAAAACGTACGAAAATGCGCACAGCGAACAGCTGATTTGCCACCTCCGCCCTGTATTGTCGCCTTCCGCGTCTCCCAGCCAGCCATGGGATGCAATGCGCGTAGCGTCCGAGCGATTTTACGCGACGAGCAGCAAACATCGACCGGATCAACAGCTGATCTGAAGTGATGACGTCATAGTTTTTTTTTTTTTTTTTTAACTATTTTCATCTATTCTATTCGATTCGCATTCGATGTCGGTTTGAGTTAGGATACCGACGCAAGCAGAGAACAATTGTTTTCAAATTGTTTTATATTTCGACAATTTTTTGAAAAAATCGCTTTAAAAAAGTCGATCTTCCCAATTACGAACGTCACGAGAAAGATTTTTGCGTTTTTTTTTTTTTTGGAAACTTCGAGCAAAACTTTCGAATTCCAATAGATACTTCTTGTTACAATTTCGGATTATATATATGTTTGCAATTTAAACACGTCACACATTTCTATTTCCACTCGACGCGTTAGGTTAGGTTAGATTAGTGTCGTTTAAACATGTGTACGCGCAGTATCGTAAAAATATGAATATCCGATGATCTTATCTTAACCTAACCTAACCCTTCAAGTCAGAGTTGCATTTATATGTTATTACAAGATGGAGCCTCTGCTCTTCTACCAAATCAACTCCGGACTACCTAACCTAACCAAGTAGGAAAGTAGTAAGTCTAGTCTTGATATTATAGTAGCCATCGCGCGATTAACTTCTGGAGCTGTTCCGGGAACTAACGAATCATTTAAAAGAAATACATAGACTGGCGTATGGACTATCCTTAACTGGTTCGCTACACTCTGAGAGAATATCCTCTGTCTGCGCATTGACAGAGAGCAGCCTGAGATCTCGTTCTTCTCTCTGGCATAGGTGAAGCAAAACAAACAAAGTTGGAATAGCGTTGGTTTGTTGTGACTACCGCACGTTGTGATATATTTGTTGCAGGTAAGTATCAAGTTATTCGTGAAGACGCGCAATAGCTTCTAATATTGCCTATAATATTAGCTTTCAGCAAAATGGTGAATTCGTCGTCGAACGTGACTGTGTCGAATATTCTGAAGAACAAGAGTTCTTCGGAGGATGAACCTCGCAAGAAGAGTCGAGAAGAATGGCGAAAAGCCAAGGAACTCGAAGAGGCCAGAAAAGCGGGCACGGCTCCGGCTGCCGTGGACGAGGAGGGCAAGGATATAAATCCTCACATTCCTCAATACATCAGCTCGGCGCCGTGGTACTTCGGCGCTAAAACGCCTACCCTGAAGCATCAGAGACCTCAGCCCGAAAAACAGAAGCAGTTCAATTCCATCGACGAGTGGTACAATCGCGGTGTGGACACGTCCCGTGTAGCAAACAAGTATCGCAAGGGTGCCTGCGAGAATTGCGGTGCGATGACTCACAAGAGGAAAGATTGCATGGAGAGACCACGCAAGGTCGGAGCGAAGTACACGAATTCCAAGATAGCTCCGGACGAATTCACACAGCCGGATCTGTCGCTGGATTATGACGGCAAGAGAGACAGATGGGCGGGTTATGATCCGGCTGAGCACAAAGAGATAGTAGAGGAACATCAGAAAATAGAGGAGGCCAAGAGACAGATGCGCGCTGAGAAACTCGCGACAGAGGAGGAGGATGACGAACAAGACGACAACTCGGACAAGGATGAGGACAAGTACGTTGACGAGGTTGACATGCCTGGTACAAAAGTCGACTCCAAGCAACGTATCACCGTGAGAAATTTGCGTATTCGAGAAGACACCGCGAAATATTTGCGCAATCTAGATCCAAATTCGGCATATTATGATCCAAAGACTAGAAGTATGCGAGACAATCCGTATGCTAATATGGACGCCGAAGTGGATTACAAAGGTGAAAATTTCATGCGTTTTTCCGGCGACACGCAAAAACACGCGAACGTGCAGTTGTTCGCTTGGGAGGCACACGAGAAAGGAGTAGACGTTCATCTGCTTGCCGAGCCCACGAAGCTGGAGTTGTTGAAGCAGGAATACGATAAGAAACGCGACGAACTGAAGGATGAAGCGCGCGACAGCATAATCAAACGTTACGGAGGTGAGAAGCATCTCGAGGCGCCACCAAAGACCCTTTTGTTGGCGCAAACCGAAGATTATGTGGAATATTCAAGATATGGCAAAATAATAAAAGGCCAAGATAGACAGGTAATACGATCCAAGTACGAGGAGGATGTCTATCCGAACAATCACACGTCGATCTGGGGATCTTATTGGCAGGATGGAAAATGGGGCTATCATTGCTGCCGATCCTTCATAAAGAATTCATACTGTACCGGAGAACGGAAATCCGAGAAGGAAACGACGGATACGGCGATCGAACAAGACAGCACGCCGCTCGAATTATTCGAAACGGAAGAAACAAACAGCGATCGTTTTTCAAACAACGAGTCCTCGTCGGACGACGAAGGCGCAAAGAATAAAACGGAAAAGCAAAGCAAATCAGCAAAACGAAAATTAAAGAAACAGAAACAGAGAGAGAATCGAAGAAACAAGAAAATGAAAAATTCAGATGACAAACTGAAAGAAGCATTGAGAAAGGAGGACGAACACGCGAAGAAGACAGATCAATTCTTGCAAATGGACGAGAGAAAACGCCCGTACAACAGCATGTACGAAGCAAAACCACCGTCTGCTGAAGAAATAGAAGCATATCAAATGAAGCGCAAGCATTACGAAGATCCCATGGCTCACTTTCTTTGAGTGCAACATTTTATTACGCACTTGTTTTTTAATATATGATCACACTACATGCGTTTTCAACGTACATTGTATGTGTACACGTCTAAATATTTACAATAGCATAACCGTACGGGACAGAAGAGTTTTTTTTAGAAAAACGTGATTATAATAACGATCCAATGGCTCGAGCGCCTTCCTTAAATAAAATATTACTCAATATTTTAATTTATATGTAATTATTTTTATAACTATAACATAATGATATGATAAAATACATTGTACGTATATACATGTAAATATATGTATAAAAACTAAAAACAGAAGTTGGTGTTTAAAAAGAGTTGCGCGCGTAATCTGTAATCTTACTTTTACGTGACAAATAAAATAAGAAAATACACTGCAGAGATGAAATATTATTTTGACCCCGCCGCGGTCAGTCACCCTCCCCACCAAGGCCGCACGGCCGAGGTCAGTGACTCTACTGCAGTCGCGTGACCGAGGTCATTGACCCCGCCGCGGTCAGTGACCCTTCCCCTACCAAGGCCGCGCGGCCGAGGTCAATGACCCCGTCAAGGCCGCGCGGCCGAGGTCAATGACCCCGTCAAGGCCGCGCGGCCGAGGTCAATGACCCCGTCACGGCCGCGCGGCCGGGTCAGTGACATTACTGTAGTATGTATATAATACATATAATACAATATAAAGTATAATATTATAAATATATAATAAATTATATGTATCTATCTATCTATCTATCTATCAAGATCGATAGAATCGATTCTGATTATTTGCACACACTTTTTCTAGTAGAATTGCGTTCGAAAAACGCGCAATCGGCGCTATCGCGTCATTCTGTCTCTGTTTTCTTAACAAACGATGCCCGTGTATGATGCAATAACGCAGATAGCGCGCTCCTCAGACCTAGCCAATAGAATAAGTTCCACTTGGCACACGCGACGATCGCGAACGTATGTTAGGTCGCGCTTACAATGTTCTGTCGTATTGGTCGATTTGCCGGATATGATCGATGCGATTGGACAATTATGGACGCAACTTACGCTCGCGATCGTCGCAAGCGCCAAGAGCGGCTACGGGCTCTCAAGTCTTTTCTGCTCATGTGCGCCAAATCAACCAAAACCAACCTAATCCAACCCGACCATGTTTATTCTTAACCCTAAAGAATCGCGAAGACATGTTTACTACCTTGAGTTCGTCTGTTACTTTAATATTGAGGATTTGTACGTTCGCATCTCGCAATGAGATGGGTTCTCATAGATATGAGATAATATTTGCGTCATTGTGATCTCAACGTTTATTACATCAAACTCATAAGATTTTATTTTTTTTATATTCTTTTCTGTATTGTACGGAATATAATTGTTTACAGAAAGATATAAAAGTAAACAGTGTTTTTGATTTAAAACTGATTGAAATTGCGTGATATTCTTTTGAAAAACTCTCAAAATGAGTGAAAGTGAGTCTATGTACGGAACGACAATATCTCAGGAGTCTATTAAGGTGATAGCGGAAGGCATTGGTGTCGGCAACTTTCCAGATGAAGCTGCGAAGGATCTTGCGGAGGATGTGAGTTACAGACTGAAAGAAATTATTCAGGTTAGTTGTGTGAATTTTATATTCTTTATATAATACATATTTTTTTTTTTTTTTATATTTTAGAAGATATAATTGTGTGTAATTGTATTGAACATTTTCTTGCCACAGGATGCTGCGAAGTTTATGAGGCATGGAAAACGACAACGTATGACTTGTAATGATATAGATCATGCATTGAAGATCAAGAATATTGAGCCGACGTATGGTTTCTTTGCCAAGGATCACATACCATTTCGATTTGCCTCAGGTGGTGGTAGAGAATTGCATTTTGTAGAAGAAAAGGAAATAGATCTTACTGAGGTTGTGTCTATGGCTGGTGGTCAATCATGGCCCAAGTTGCCTTTAGAAATTACATTGCGTGCCCATTGGCTCTGCATTGATGGAATACAGCCCACCATACCAGAAAATCCACCACCAGTATCAAAAGGTATTTGAAGTTTGTTTATTTATTCAAAAAGTGTAAACGTATAAATATATGATATACTTTTGCTATTGCAATAGATGTTCAAAAACTGGAGAGCGTCGATCCAACGACCAAGCTTTCTAGCAAAAATCAAAATATCGGTGTTGGCAAACCGGGTGGTGGTGGTAAAGGTCAGAAATTGCGAAATGTGGAAACAGTTCACGTAAAACAACTCGCCACGCACGAGCTCAGTGTTGAACAGCAATTGTACTACAAAGAAATAACAGAAGCGTGCGTCGGATCCGACGAGGGTCGCAGAGCCGAAGCTCTGCAGTCGCTCTCAGCGGATCCCGGTTTACATGAGATGCTGGCGCGTATGTGCACTTTTATCGCGGAAGGTGTGCGAGTCAACGTGGTTCAGAATCATCTCGCGCTGCTCATCTATCTCATGCGAATGGTCAAGGCTCTGCTCGATAATCCGAGTCTTTACTTGGAGAAATATGTAAATAATGTGTTTGCATGTGTTTATATTAACTCTATACATCGAATCTCAAATTTTAACTTAATAATATACATTTTTTCCAGCTTCACGAATTGATACCGTCGGTTGCGACCTGTATAGTTTCTCGACAACTATGCATGAGACCGGAAGTGGACAATCACTGGGCATTACGGGACTTTGCTTCTAGATTGATGGCACAGATATGTAAAAATTTCAACACTTCCACAAATAATGTGCAAACCAGAGTGACTCGTATGTTTAGTCAAGCATTAGCAAAAAATAATCAGGTTATTATCAATTTGTTTTTAAAATAAGTATAAATATTCTTTCCATATTTTGAGTCTTTTAGTTTATATAATGTGCAAAATAATATAAATATTTTTATTTTATAGACTCCATTGGCGTCACTTTACGGAGCGATTGAAGGACTTTGCGAATTAGGTCCGGAAGTGATCAAAGCTTTAGTCATTCCCAAAATCAAGTCAATCTCCGATCGCATTGAAACGTGCATCGAGGGCCAAGGACTGTCTAGTGTGGATAAAAATGCGGCGGGACATATCAAGACTCTTCTCGTGGTAAAATTTTTTTTGTAGAAAGTACTTGTACAAGCGCACACATACACTTCACATACACTTTTTTCGACTTATGTATTCTGTATCTTTTCTATTTCGGATGAAAACGATATCACGAAATCGAAAACGCATGTTTTAGAAATCAGTCGCTCCAGTTTTGAAAACTATACGGTCACCGCCGGATTACGTAGAAGAATATAAACAGGATTACGGATACATAGGTCCCGCTTTGTGCACCGCGGTTGCAAAAGCGCGCACACAACCACTCGCTGCTCTGACGACCACAGCCGCGAATACGGCACTGACCACAAATCAGCAGCAAAATTCGAACTGCACAGGAAAGACGCTTGTTCAAACGGGTGAGTAAATTGTTGATAAAAATATTGACTGCGATAATTTGTGAATTATATGACTTTACGCGTCATTGTAGTGACCAACGCGAATACGGGACAGCAAACTAGCCGTGCAATCATGCTTGGTACAAGCAGAAGTACAACCGGAACTTCTGCAACTGGGCAGAAATTTGTTATTTTGCAATCGCGTTCGCAGACGCCCACTACTACTAATATAAACACTACTAGTGCAATTCAGCAGCAAACACAATCACAGACACAACAGCAACAACAGCCGCCGCAACAGCAGCAACAACAACAGCAACATCAGCAGCAACAACAACAACAGCAACAACAGCAGCAGCAAGTTAAATTAGCGAATGTTGTTCAACAAAAAACACATTTACAGACTACGCCAAAATTGGTCGTGGTGTGCGTGCCTGTTACCAGTCACACTAACACAACGGTAACTCAGGTATGACTTCTTTTCCTTTTTCAATTCATAAATTACAGGAAGAAATAATGTCGTCGCGATTTGAAACAATCTTGCGTCGAAATATAGAAAAGAAACGTGTTTGAAAAATATGTTAAACTTTGTTTTCAGCAAGCAAATCTACCAGCAAAACCGCAAACTGTCTTCGTTGCGCAGCAAAACGTAGAAAGGTCGCTCAGTCCGGAAGAGGAACATTCATTTCAGTAGGAATAATGTAAATTACATAAATACAAACTTCCAAACGCTTCCTTATAATCAATATTTTCTTTAGATAAGAACACAAATACAATATTTCTAAATAAAAAAGATTTAAAAAAAGTTTTATATATAAAAATTAAAATAAAAACCTTGTACAGTTTCTCAAGTTAAATTTTAAAAATTGCTTTCTTTTTTATTTTAATTATGCATTTGTATTTTGTGTGTTCTATATCTATTTTAGAATCTATACATATAATATCTCTCTCTCATGTCTTTATAAATATACTTTATATTGTTTTGCATGTGAGTATATATCGCATTACTGACTTGTGTTTCTCAACAACATATATTTACGTTATTACGAAAGATTACTTGTGTGTTAAATAATATTGGACTTTTTTTTTATTTGCAACTATAAATTACAATTATAAATTGTTTTACTGTGTGTTACGCGTTATGTAAAAAATACATATACACATTTATAAACAAAAAATTATCTACTCTTCGTCAGAACGGTTTTTGGCTGCTTCGTTTGTTTCGTCGGATCGTACTTGAATGTCTTCATCACGGGGGTTTTACCAGCGGTGCTGAACTGCACCGCGTCCGCTCGTTCTCTATCGGATAATTGTTTAGATATTTTCATGTTTGTCCAAGCTGAAATAGGTAAACCGTTTATTTAAATACGTAAAAACGTTTATCTTATTTTTTGACATCGTGATATATTTATTATGTAGTAAGTAATAATTACGTAATAATGAACGTGTAAATACCTTCTCTTACTTCTTCCCTGAAATTCTTGTTGCTACGGACTGGTTCGACACGTCGTACTATCGTGGGCATGTTAAGAGCTTTTCTTACATGCGGTATCTTTAGTAGACCAGTTTGCATTAAGGAAATTGTGTTCGTTGAAGCCCAGTACAGCAAAATAGCCTGAAAGTGCAAAATAACGAAAACTACTTATTGACTTTGATTTCTTAAATCCAGCGCAGAGCTACAGTTCAATTGTCCTTGGGATCAAGTATAAGAATATTATAATTCTTGTGCGCGCGTATAACTTACACCGGGAAAGTGTATCGTGAACGGCAATATGATAAACGGCAGAGCACGTAAGACGTATCGAAACAGGCCCATTGCTTTGAGATTTGTACCGTCCGTGCCGAGCTCGATCGTAATGTACATTGTGACAGTGGTAATTAGCGGCATTATGTAATAAGGATCGTGAATAGTCAGATCGTTTAGCCACAGAAAACCACCCGTTTTCAAGCTCTCCACAGGCGTGTTTGCCATTGTTCTCAAAGCCATAAAAAAGGAGATGAAAATTGGCGCCTAAAAGACAAGAATCGATCATATTTTTCCTTCCGTATATACGTAAACAGATATCATGAGCGCGTACCTGAACTAACGGCACTAAAAAATTCTTCATAACACTGATGTTGTTAGTCTGCATAAATTTCATCAACTCTGTTGCAGCCTTCGCACCTATTTAAAAGAGAATAAAAATTTGCATGATATAAGCGTAAACAATATTCACAGAATTTTAACGCCATACTTTCGTAATGATCGCCACATTGTCGAGCTTCGGTCATTTTCGTTTGCAGTTCTTGTATTGTTGGCATGTGGTTGGACAATTTGATCATGTTCTTTTGCGACGTTATCACCAAGGGAAATAATAATAACCTTACACAAACAGTACCTGAAGCAAGCGCATAGAGACATAATTATCACAATTTATAACTAAGATTTTCAGACAATTTTACAATAAATTTTATAATTTTACAGTAAAATATGTACCTAGAATAATTGTTCCCCACCATGGAAGATTATAATTTATGTGTGCAAATTCCATGAAACTCTCTATGAGTCCTACTGGACTGTAACCACCTAGCCCTATGCTCTCAAAAGTAACTTCCCCATTTGGATGAACCGCTACCACTGGTTCTGTTATTATTTCCGTTAGTGGTGCTGGTGGATCTATGTTCACAAAAGTTATGTACTAACAATTACAAGCAGTAGAAAGTTTATATATAAATTTATTTTTTTTTTTATATATATATATAACAACTTTTTTTCCTTATATAGCACAGTAACTATTCTTTTTAACTAAAAATAGAGAAAAACTCAATTTACTATAATTATTAAACAAAAAAGTAGTAATTTTAGATTAAATTTTTGTATGTATACCTGGAATCTCGTCATATGGACTGCTCTGTGATGCTGATACTGGTGGTGGTGGTGATGATGATGATGATGGAGGTAATTCTGATGATGACGATACTGTTTTATCAGTGCTAGCATAGCGGAGTGAGGGAATTCCTATAACTCTACAATTTTTGTAAAAATCTAGCGAAGAACTGTTCTTGGGAGATTTTATTCGAGCAATCACATGAATGTGTCTGCATGCAGTCATTTCCTGGAAATAAATGTAAAAATTGTTGTGTTAGAGGAAGTTGTATTGTGGAAAACAAAAGTGACTGTATTTTTTTTAAAGCTATCATATAAAAACTCGTGAAAAATATATGAAAATCACATGTTTTTTCTCTAACCTCTGTTAGACTACACGCAAAACATTGATTTTACCTTGTGCAACATTATATTTGTCCTCAACAGCGTTTGCCGCCAAACGATCGTCGACGTACGCGCAAACATTTTAGTATACTTTTATCGAACTGTCAATTATTCCTAACATGCGAAATATCTTGGTTTCTCGACGTTTTTAACCAGCAGAAACTGTTCTACTCGGCGATCGGCAACGGACATGCAATCACCGGCAGAAAATTCGGGAGGATTGAGGTGTTCTCAGTTGAACGTTTGGTTCATGCCAAATTAATAGTTTATAAATTTCACCGCGTGGCACGCTGCTACTTGTAATTTGCAAATGATAATCCGATCTACTGTGAATAAAGTAAACTTGCGGTTGGTAAAGTATCGACGCTGGAGAAACAAACGTTTCAGATCGTATCGTACGATAGATGGCGCGATAAGAGCAAAGCGAAACCAGCCGAAGTTATTAGCCGAAGAAACGGCGGCACAGCGTCGCATGTTTTTGACGAAGAGAAGCGAAACAAGAAGCACCGCTGTTTTTTTTTTTTCAAAGAAGACTGAATAAATACAGGTAGTGTGTATTTTCGCAACGATGTGTGTCAGGGAGGAAAATCTGACGCTGAAGAGAAGGAAAAAGGAAATGAGATGCGAACTAGAAGAAGTGTATGAACGAGTAAAACGGAACGCGCATCGCAGCGATCTAGATCCGTGTAAGTTTTTGAATTTTAATCGAGTGCGTTTTTAATTAACGACAACGAAACTTTATTGTTTTTTTCTTGTTAAATTAACATATACAAGCGGGTACATAAGTTAAGAGTTAAAACGCGATTTCGCTCCTTTTCTTTTTTTTTTTTTTTTAATGAGAGTCAGTAAAACCTCAGAATATAAAATAAATCAAGAGACGGTCGCCAAACTCACACGTACATACACGCGCGCGTATGTATATATATATATATATATATACACATATGCGGAAGAAAATTTCAATTATACACTTTAATGACTTCGCAATCTTATGTAGTCGGCTTACATACATATAACTTTACGATCTTGCAAATCTGTATAAATCGCTCAACAAGATATATGTTTCGTAATATTACGGCGATTTCGCGTCAAGATGTAAAAGAATTCGTGATCAAACCGAGATCCGATTGTTCCGCGGATTGTGTCTCGAATAAATCTCCCGATCTATATAATATCTCTCTGGGAGAGTAACCGATCGTTACGCCTCCTTGTCATACCAACAGTGCCGAGTCACGTGACCGAATCTACTGCAATGACATTCAGTATGAGCCGTGGTACGGTGGACGTGGATTATTAAGCGAGACCTGTTATTAAAGTCCCCCTCGTGCTCTCCGCCGAGGCTGCAGACCGCCCCTCCCTCTCTCTCTTTCTCTTTCTCTCTCACCCTGTGATCTTAACCCTTCTTTCCCTTTTCGTCCTCTTTCCCCTTCGCCTCTCTTCCCCCGAAGACCTTATACCTTCGCCGAATCACCTTCGAGCTGGAGAGGTGCGGCTTTGTTGATTTAAGGCGATAATACGGGCTGCACGAAATTTTACATGAAAAAAAAAAAAAAAAAAAAGGAGAGCGAAAGCACAAGACCGGCGCGCTTATAATTATAGATTTGCACTGTCCTGGAGAACCCCCTTGAACCCTTCTTAACCATCTCCACCTGTCAGTCCCGCCGTTCCCCTTCCTCTAACTCGGAAATGATTCTGTAACGTTAAGAGGGCGCGAACACCGCGTTGCGAGGTGATCATTACCCGTCATTTCCAACACTTTATTATTTGTTCTCCGTCGCGCGGATTAATATAACATTTTTTATTTGTTTATATAT